TAACTTACATTAATAGTGGAGAAGGTTTTTGTCCTCTATTGTAAAGTGACTGGTTTGGACAGTGGTAACATGCAGTCGTAACAGTGAAAAACTCTTATATTTAACCAGAAAGAAAGAAAATCTGCTGAAACGTCACTGTTCTACTGGGAGAGAGAATAATGGTGATGTCATCGGCCCGCTGAGTGCTCCTGCAGCAGTGCATGCTGGGAGTCCACAGGTGATAATAGACTAACAGATGGCACATTTACACACATCTCACGCACACACACATCTCACACACACACACAAACACAAACACACACACACACACACACACACAGAGAACATTAACAGGGAATTGATGTAATGCAAATGCTACATTTTCATCTAATGTATAACTGCTACAGTTAATAACCAGTTATAACTGCCACTGCTAATGTGAGCGACCAGTGAATCACTCTAAAAGTGGAAGTGCTGTAACACTGTACAGCTGTGTTTATGTGTTTTACAGCAGGATAAATTTAGAGAAACTTACTGAGCCAGAACTGTTCACAGTGGTGGTGATAGGAACCAGACGTCCACCTCTAAAAGCTCCCTCACAGAAAGTTACTACATGAAATGGTTATGAATTCACTGCCTGATGACTGAGACACTGTTTTATGAAAGTTTTGAGAACTTAAACTCCATTCATGGTGGAGGGATACATGCAGGGCGCTGTAAGGCAAAATAGTCCCCAAAGAAAACTTAGTATTTCAGATTTTCCACTATTTTCCATCATCAACATTCCATATCAACTCAGAAGACTCATGTAGGTTCACTGGTGGTTTTGGATAGTAAATAAAATGTCTATATTTGTGTTGTAGTCATGGCGACCCCTGGTTCCTATCACCACCACTGTAAAGACATCTGAACCACTTTGCACCAAACCACACTGAATCACTCTGTTTACATCTCACACACTGAATTATACAGTTGAACTGTTAGGGAGGGGTTTCTAATAAAGTGGCCAGTGAGGATTTGATAATGTTTCTGTTATTTTGTCCACTTCCCTGCTTGATCTGTAAACCGTTTCTCTGCATATTTATACACATATTGGGCAAATGTTTTAGACATCTGAGGAAATCAGGAGTGACAAAGCTGTTTATCAACTCAGAAAAATATTAAAATAAACACACTGGTCAGAGTGTTTAACTGTTTCTTGCCCAGTATTAACTGCAGCTAATCACTCAATACCTGCTGTGTCTAATCTACATTATTATGTTAATCAGGAGCTGCTGATGGAGTTTAATAAATCCATGTTGTTGCTGGAGGAGAAATCAAACCAGCTCATAAGATCTCAACTACTTTATTTTTTACGTAAAACAAAGTAAACAAGAAATTCTTGTTGCAGTCGTGTGCAAAAGGTTTTGGTCAAATTCCATGTTACACGTCCTCTACAGAGAAACACTTCTGCACGTTTTAATGCTCAGTGATGTTGAACACAGCAAAGAAGTAGAAACCATGTACTAAAATTTGCAGAAATATGTCATATTTAAGTGCGTTCTCTGTACAGGATGTGTTCACCTGTTTGAAAATTAACTAAACACACTTTCTCAGGGGTGTTCAAACCCTTTGCTTTTGCTGTATGTCTGTTTATGTGTAATTATCCTAATGATACATAGTGAAAAACACACTTATTGCCAAGATAGATGGTTTTAAACTGTGCCAGGCGCCCATCCCCCAGGCTCCGATGACGGCCACAAGAGCCGGCAGGAGCCCTGAGCACAGACAACATCCCACAATGACCACAGCAGAAGGACGATAACTACAAGGTCTGGGTAGGTTGGCACTTGAGTCCCAAGCCCCTCCTCCTGGGGGCGGTGACGGGGAGGTGGAGCAACAAGCTCTCATTCCCTCACTGCTCATTTGCTCACACTGTCTTGATGAGAGCCAGCTGATTCTTCAGCAGTGTGGGCACCTTGGAAAGGAGGGAACAGAGAGCTCTGCTCCCCCTCCCGTCACTGCAGCCACTCCACATCAGGCATAGTAAAGTGGCCTCGCCGCAGAACCAGAAAGCGGAGCTCAGGACTCGGGTGCCGTCCATCCAGCCCTCGCGGTTATCATCCTCCCCTGGTTGTCTGTCGTCTGCGCTCGGGGTTTGGGCCCTGTCTTCCTGCCGGCTCTCGTGGCCGTTATCAGAGCCCAGGTGATGGGTGCCTGGCACATAAACAATGTGCTTATGTTCCAAATGCTGCATTTTTGTGGAAGACAGATAACAGCAAACCGGATATTTCATTGTTTTCAACTGAGCCACAATGGAAAATTCTGCCACCGCAAGTTGAACATTCCATAGACTGCAGCAGGAAGAGGAATGATTCGGCAAGAGTTCAATTTTCCCAACTTTTGCCATCGACAGCAGCAGTGGAATAAACTGGATGCTGCTTTTTTTGGAGCCCAGGACGCCAAATGCCTTGCTGTTGAGTTCCAGATGTACTCAGTGTTACACAACAACAATGAAAGAATGCAGAGTTCTCCACCTCACCTAAACGATCTACCCTGATAAAGCTCACTTCTCCTCTGATAATCGGCCATTTACGCCAGGTAACGCTGTCACCATGGTGACGTTAGCGTATGAGGTATAGAATGATGTTTGTTTCAATGCAAATGTGAATGCAGCATAAGACTTTTACACAGTAGTGAATTTCACAACCCAGCAAAACACAAACAGCACTCAGCGTTCAGTTCAGTTACTGTGACCCAAAACCAAACAGTCCTTGAGCGGCATTTACGAGATGGTGTTTAGGACGAAGAGCTGTTTACACACACACACACACACACACACACACACACACACGCACACACACACAGACACACACTGTGCCGCGTGAGGTTTTCTCCAACAGAACATGAAGCTTTGATGAAGCGAGGTGTTAAAACATTCTACTGTCAAAGAACAACAAGCAGCAGTAAAGCGCTGCACCTCCACTGACGCGTCAGCGGAACCTTCTTGCAAGTCCTTCGCTCTCATATGAAAGGTTTACCTCACCTTTGTGAACCAGCAAATGAGCAGATCTATCGGAGAGATTTCCAGACCTTGCCTCATCTTCCACAATTCCCCTTAACTGCCATTTCTTAACCTTATCTAGATCACTGTACCAGTACTAGCACACTTCCGTAAAGCGTTCACATCCAGCTTTAAACACTATTTTTAGGCAGCAAATCTTCCCAGAATGCAGTGATTCAATACATCATTAGAAAGCTCGAAATCTCAGGATTCGATATCCACAAATCTTTTCATCACCCGTTATTCACAGCAGTTACAATCATCTCATTTGCAGCATTAGCGCCGAGCGAGCAAACGCCAGCAAATCACCTTCAGAGCCTCACTGCCTCCACAGAGACACCATAATCCAGAACATGTGGTCTGATAACACGGCAAGTGTCAGAAATCAGTTTAGAGATCTATGAGTCAGGAGGAAATAAACTCAGTGGTTCTATATAGAACCATGAACAATCCCTGGTGAAATGATTCTTTACATTGATGGAGAACGTGTTGTAAATGGTTCTATATGGCACCTCTGTCCTCTATTGTATACAAGCTTGACATTGTAACAATAGCAGAACTCATTTTGGTGCTATATAGAACCATACACAGCACATTCTCCATCAGTCTAAAGAACCATTTCACCATGCAGAGAACCATGCACATGGCTCTTTGGGTGTTCATAGTTCAATATAGGACCACTGGTCCTCATTCTCCAATGTCTTCCTGAGTTTGTTCTTAAGTGTGTTCTTGAGAAAGGTTCTAAGTAAAAGTCTATGTCAGATTCATGATGTGTTCTTAAAGCGCAGAACTGTTCTCACCTTTGTGCTTTTGAGTATGTGTAGATTCTGTTCTTACCTAAGAACCAATCCTAGATAAGAAAACATTGATGAATGTCAGAGTTTTCGTCAGAACTGTGTAAGTGGGAAGAAATTTCTTCTGAAGAACGGTTGCTGAGTGAGGCCCAGAACTCTACTATGTGCCCGCAAAACAACACACAGTTGACCCCTCCTGTCCAGTCTCCTCCAAACATATTCTCTCTCTTTTGTCCAGATGTAGTAATTTCTCTAAGTTCAGACACTAGCACTCCCTGGACACCGGTCATGAATTTTTCACTCAGCCGCATCCTCAGCTTATCAATAATGAAGCGGTATATTCTTATGAATATTGTAAAGATAAAGTGCGGTTATGCGGCCTGGCCGCGGCCGGATTAAAGTTTGATTAGAGCAGAGATGTCAGAGAAGAGCTGCTGTCCATTCATCTCCACAAACACAGTTAAAATGCACTGCAAACGCGACACCCCCCCCATTGACATCCTTCCCCCAACGCTGGGCCCTGCCCTGAAGCCATACTCAGGTACGCAGGAAGGATTTCAACTAAACCATTTCTTTAAAAAATAATACAATAACTAGTGGTGTTAGGGTTCGTTAACATGTTAACACTATAGATTCTTACCAACACACTTTTTTTAATGCTGTTAACTCATTTTCCTTGTTTGACAGTTCAAGTCCTCTTTGTACCATAATAAATGAAAATGTACCTTTTTTTCTGATGGTGTGGTTTAAGCAAATAATACTAACAAAAGCCCTAAAAACAAATAAACTGTGTGCAGCGTTCTGTTTTCGAGCTCTGAAGTGGCCTAGTCCTGTTATTTAAACTTGTTTAATATAATGTCCGACATTTTGAATACATTTGCTTATGTTTTATATCTTTTGTTTGATGTGAGTTTTGAGTGTACAATAGATTGCTTTCTGTGCTACATATCGACACTGATTGGTCACCACACAGACATCGGTCATTCAAAAATAGAGTGTAGAGTGTATCAGCGTGTTTATATAGTTGTCTCTCGCCACATTGTAACACGTTATGACACATTCTGAGCAAAAATACACTGTATGCTGCTTAAAATATAAGCCCAGAACATAAAACACCTTCCTTCATTCCTGTCCATCAATATACAGACCACAGGAGGCTGCAGGTCTCTGCATAATAGGATCCCTTACCTGGGAGTGAAGTCACAGCCCTGCTGCATGAATGCTCCGAGGGAGAACCAGAGGCTGTTGAATATTCCGAACTCGTTGGGGGGCTGGTCGGCTGGAGCAGATTCCGATCCCTCCTCGGGCTCCTCAGTGTGCCACTCGTACGGGCTGAAGCGGCTGACCAGGAAGAGCACCACGCTCACCCCGATGTAGGCGAACACGATGCACATCCAGATCTCGTAGGCCAGCGGGTCCAGGAAGGAGAACACGCCTGGCTTCGACTTCTGCGGCTTCTTAATCATGATGGAGATGCCCAGGCTCATGAACGGCTTCGAGAAGTCTATGACCTCCTCCCGGACCAGCGTTATGGTTAAAGGGGCCACCGCGATCTCCGCTTTCTGTGGGGAGAGCAAAGACAGGAGATTAACGGTTATGAGGTCACGGGGTCGAAGCTATTTACTGATTAATATTCATTTACAATTTAGAGTTTATAATTGATTCACCACGCTCGGTTAGGTATTCCAGAAAAATCTTCCTTTCCAATTTATGAAAGGTCTTTGTGGAGCACCTGCTGGAATACCTTATTTTCACTGAATTTACAAAGGTGCAGCACATCTTTAACCCAGTGGTCAAAGGTTGTTGGGTTGATTTCCGTAATATTAAACGCCTTGCGAGAATGGGGAGGCACTGGGGGAGGCACGGAAAATGGGCATGGAACTATAAATGTACTTAAAGCCCCAGCAGTACTTTTGCAAGAATATGCACCAGCACCCAGAAGGTTGTGGGTTCAACTCCCAGAACTGAAGGACTGATTATATTAAAGTTAATAGTCTTAATAAAGTATACTAATACACAGTATTCGCAAAAGCTGGAAAAGGCATCCCGCGGCCGTATTGTTGACATTCCACCAGAATAATGTATACGGCAGTCAGTCTAGGCCAGGGGTCGCAACCCAAATGCTGAGCAGAGCCATTTCAACAGAAACCACCTTGGGAGCCACAATGTTTTATGTCTATTTTACCATCTTTGCTGTAAATATATCTCAGTATGTGTTAATGTTCTAGTACAGGCTAAAAATATAAACGAAAACGCAGACTTACTTTGCTCTGCTTTAAGCTTGAGCTTAGCTATAACTGCTTTTCTCGCATCTCCAGCAGGAACAGCTTCTTGTAAAATGTCTCAGCGTTGGACTTTTTACAAGCTTCTTTTTTTGGCCTTTTCCTCGAATTTTCTTGTTCCACTTTAAATGCCGTCTGTGTTGCCAGAATGTAACTGCTGCACCATTTAAGGTGGAACGGGACAATTCGAACAAGAAGCTGGTAAATGAGGAGCAACTTCAGCTTCATGACTTTTTAGTGATTGTAAGTTTCTCACTGCAAATTAAACGTATCAGGAAACCAGCTGGATTATAAACGCAAACAAGTCTACTTATCTCCAAATTATCGATGATTGTCTGAAATCTCCCTTTTTGCGATTTCGTTAGACGAGATTGTTGTCTGTGTTGCTATGGTGACCAGCAGTCTGCGCTGATCTTCAGGGTTAAAGGGTGAATTAGCAGTTCTACATTAACTCCAGTGTTTAAGACCATTTGCTGTTAAACTGTGTTGAACGATCAGCAGAGCTTTATTTTACTGTAAAGGAGGATTATTTTATTTTTATCTACTAATCTAATTCTGCTGTGGAGACACAACAGGGCAGTAAACAAGCTCCGGAGCCACATGAGGCCGACCCCTGGTGTAGGCCACGGCTTAGTAACAAACTTAGGACATTAATTCTAAACCAATTCAACGTCTGGTGAAGAGGGAGCTCAAAGTAGGGGGTGTAAATCAGCTTGGCTAAAAAGTTCCGGAAAACTCTGACTAAGCTTCGTGTCTGTGAAGAACACCCACGTCCCTGAGAACATCTGAACGTTCGCTTGCTGTTAGGACGCGATGTAAGTCGAAGTCGACCCATCCGTCTGTTCCTGAGCAAATTCCTTCCCTCGCACTTTAGTAATTAGCTTAATTAAGAAGCAGCCTAATTGGCTATCTGGGGGGGGGGTGAGGTGGACTGAATTGAGCTACAGATGCGGAGAGTGTAGTGCTTGGCAGTCTGCCTCACTTCGTCTGCAGCAGTGTTACCTGCATGCTTCAGAACAGAGCGCAGAACACCTGGACCTCGCAGCCTGCAGGAGAACCTTGCTCAGCCTGGCCTTCACTAGAAAATCCCTCCCAGTTCCACTCTGTATCCCGAATGTAGCCCACCAGCCGAGACATCTTTGGTGCTTCTTTTATTTTAGCACTAAAGCTACGAGGCTAATGTAGCTAACAAGTACACTATTAAAAAACAGATGCTTCTTAAAGGGTTCTTTAGTATTGACAAGTTTCTAAATAGAACCATGAACACTCCAAGAACCAACTTGCAGTTTAAATGGTTCTCTGCATGGTGAAATGGTTTTTCAGAGTGATGGAGAATGTGATGTATATGGTTTGCTTCATTAGCCTCGTAGCTCCAGTGTTAGAAGTACAGAAGCAACCTTCAGACCCTGAACACGTTCTTGCCAATCAGCTTCATTCAGCGTATTTGCGGTTGGTCATCAGCCTCAAAGTGCTTTGAATTGGTCAATTTCAGACTAAATGGACATGACTGTGTGATGTGGTCAGCGTCTTCCAGCACCATCATCCTAATAACACAGGATTTAGTGACTTTTATCCAGCGGTTAAAATGTCAAACCACAGAAAAGGACATCATGATATCATGAGCAGGTATTGATCGGGGTCAGCTCGGCACTCTCGGCCTCCTGAGAGTGTGTGTGACGCAGCGGTGAAGGTCTAACGCTCTTACGTGCTAGACTTTCTTAGTAAAGACAGTATTTGTATATAGATCCGTGAACTCTCAAAAACCATTTGCATGCTTAAACGGTTCTCGGCATGGTGGAAAGGTTCTTCTTTTTCTTAACTGTTCTGAATGTTTTTGGAAAAATAAATATTCGTGTATATTAATTTATATTGATTGTTTTCATGAAGACCCAAATACTAAACTAATTACACCACAAACAGAACTGCAGAGTAAACATGACTGCTGTAGTGGTGCTGTAGTGTCAGCAGCTGTCAGGGTTCTGAGGTGATGATGTTCTGACTGATGGTGTAAAATCAGTTTAATTTGTACATTATTAGTTGGAAATGAATCTGTGCTGAGCTGCTAGTTGTAGGTTTAACTGTAATTAACTGTACAGAATGTCTGAGAATCACTGCTTTCTGGCCTGTAGTGGCTTTGAACGCTCTGTGTGGCCCAGACCAGAAACAGGGACTGATATGCTAACGATATGCTAAATGCACACTAAGATATGCTAACGATATACTAATGCTATGCTAACAGAGAGCAGAAGTGGAACTAAAGCCCGTCCCGTTGGGTCCTGGTGCCGAGCGGCTCGGTTCAGGAAGAGCACTGTGAGGTGTGAAGTCATGTGTCAGTTACACACTCGTTAGTAAACCCCCTGCTGTGTGTCTAACGAGGTTTTAGCTAATTAACCAGAACAGAGAAGTGGATCAATTATGCATTTCAGGTCTTAATTCCACAATAATTTAATACTTGTTTGTGGATTGAAAGGAAGCTTATCAAAGATATTGAATTGTTTTATTTGTGAACACTGTCACACCGAGGGTGTTTCCAATAAAGTGGCCAGTTAGTGGAAGCAGAAGGTGGGTGTTTCCAATAAAGTGGCCAGTTAGTGGAAGTAGAAGCTGGGTGTTTCTGATAAAGTGGCCAGTTAGTGGAAGTAGAAGGTAGGCGTTTCTAATAAAGTGATTAATTAATGGAAGCACAAGGTGGGTGTTTCCAATAAAGTGGCCAGTTAGTGGTAATAGAAGGTGGGTGTTTCTAATAAAATGGCCAGTCAGTGCACTATCTTACCCCGTACACCAGCTCCCCAACCATTCCGTTCCATATTTTCGTCTCTGGATCCCTCGCTCCGTACTTCCCGTCAGGAACTATGGAAATCTTGTATTTAATCCCAATGTGCTTTGCGATTTCGGATGCCAGATCCACGCAGTATCCCTCGTACTGGTCATTCCCTTCATACATCTCCCAGTTCTTCTTCAGCATGACGTACGGTCCCTCCTACAACACACACACACACACACAGAGGAAGGGTGGGAAGGGACAGTAACACTGGTCATACGTCAGCAAGAGCCTCAGACTGCTGCTTCAGTGATTAGTGTGCTGCTTTACACTATAATTTAAATTCTACACGAAAAATGTTTTACAGCAAGTTTCAACTGTACGATATGGACAAAATACCTGCACTGTGATTAAACTGCTGCATATTAAACCTGTTATATGCCCTACAGTAGCTTATTAAAACTTGTAGTAGTTTACCAACACTTATTGATAAAGATTGTCATGCATTAGCATTTGGAGATGCTATTCAATGTAAAACATTTCTACAAAATAACAATAAAAATAATACTTTTAATAGTAATAATGATAAGCTTTATGTGATTTCATGATAACAAGATATCAACACATTATATTGTGCAGCGTTAGTATTAATAAGTTGTGTTTAGCATAATAACTAATACTGGATTTGACCTCTGTAGCCCCTTCTGACCCCATTCTGTAAAATATGTACATTGCAGATCAAATGTATGGAAGCAAGAAGTATCAAAACTGCTAAACTGCTGTTGCTGAACGGTGGGGCTAAACTGCTGTAGCTGAATGGTGGAGCTAAACTGCTGTAGCTGAATGGTGGAGCTAAACTGCTGTAGACTGAATGGGTGGAGCTAAACTGCTGTAGGCTGAATGGTGGAGCTAAACTGCTGTAGCTGAATGGTGGAGCTAAACTGCTGTAGCTGAATGGTGGAGCTAAACTGCTGTAGCTGAATGGTGGGGCTAAACTGCTGTAGCTGAATGGTGGAGCTAAACTGCTGTAAACTGAATGGTGGAGCTAAACTGCTGTAGACTGAATGGGTGGGGCTAAACTGCTGTAGGCTGAATGGGTGGGGCTAAACTGCTGTAGGCTGAATGGCATGGCTAAACTGCTGTAGTCTGCGTGGGCGGGGCTTTCAGAGAGCAGGTGCAGTCTGATGGTGCAGGTTTCTCTCTGAAATGAGTGAATGTGAAATGGTTTCCTACAGAGAGACGAGAAAAAGATCAAAGGGATGGAAATCAGCAGTGAAGGTCGGTGGGTTAATAAGCCCAGAACGTTCCACTCCACTCGGAGCTCGACTGGGAGCGGAACCGGAGTGAATTTAATCAGCAGATTACTGCCAGCCATAAAATAAAAGCCTTTATAATCAGCTGTTAGCTGTAAAAACCTGAGCATATACAGTACATCACGCCCTGCGGAGTAAAACCCTCTGAGTGAGGAAATAAACTGTGTTCATTAAATAATAATCAATTAATAAGATGGTGACATGGAGAGGCCGGCGCACGGCTCCCCGCGCTGGACTTACAGGTCATCCAAATCATTACATGAGTCAATAACGCTTCACTCTCATGAATTAGTGATGATGGGAATAATAAGAAGGAGCCACAGACGTCAAAGCCGGACAGCAGAGCTCAGATATAATCACACAGGAACGCCCGGTGAGTGCCCTGACCAGACTCCACCCACAAACGTCCTACTGGTCAACACACTCAGCCTAATGAGGAACCGTAGAGTTACTATCAGCAGCTCCTCATCAGATACAGCACAGCAGCCGTAATGTAAAAACATGATTCACTGTCAAAAAGTGCACACCTTTCACTTTCACTGCCCCACAGAGCAGCCAGGTCTGCCCAGATAGACTACAACACACCAAAATAAAGAATTAACGACTCAAATTAGACTTAAAAAGGGTCAGAGGAAACTAAAGAATTCTCTAAACAAACAACAAAGAATCAAAAATAAACAAAAAGGGGGCAGAATAGACTAAAACAGGTCTAAATAAGCTAAAAGGGTTTGAAACAACAATGGGCTGAAATAAACCAAATATAAAGTTTAAAATGGTCAGAAATAGCTAAAAAGAGTCCAAATAAACTAAAAATAAATTAAAATTAAGGTTTAAAGGTTCAAATAAACTAAAATAACAGTTTAAAAGGGTCAAAATAAACTAAAATTAAAGTTTAAAAGGGTCTCAATAAACTAAATTAAAGTTTAAAGCGGTCAGAATAAATTAAAAAAAGAATCAAAATAAACTAAAAAAGCACCAGAAACAACTAAAATGAGTCTAAATAAAGGGTTAAAATAAACTTAAAAATGGTAAATATAGGCAAAAATAAACTACAAAGCCTCCCATTAGCTGCATTGAATGAATAACCGACTCTAAATGTAGGTATTGTGATATAAACTGAGTCTGTTCTACAGTTTCTTGTTAGGCTGAATGAATAACCGACTCTAAATGTAGGTATTGTGATATAAACTGAGTCTGTTCTACAGTTTCTCGTTAGGCTGAATGAATAACTGTAGGTATTGTGATATAAAGCTTAACCAGCAACTGTAGCTACAAAAAACACATTTGTGGGCGGAGCTTCTCGCGGTCAGTTTAGAAACATATTAATTTAGACACTAAACATCAACGACAGAGAAAATCACAGACATTCAGCTTTGATATATGCAACAATTAATAATAATAATAATAATAATAATAATAATATAATAACACATTGACACTTATACAGTTATATGTATCTTGATTCCTTCATAAACAACTTGTAAAATTTGATTAAATCCAAAATTACACAACTGTACTCAACAATAATAAATACAATTTTTCAAGTATATTTCAGTCCATTTTTATCAAGTTTGTCAGATTTTACATCTTCATATTTCACAATAAAGTTACATGACAATCATAATTTCATAAACTTGAAAATGAAAAAGCCTTTATGGGTTTAATATTCATGCTGTTTGTTATTCCCTCAATAAAAAAGAAATCTTGTACTTTATTGATATTTACAGTGAAGATTTTATCTGAATCAACCAGAAAACAAAACAAAAAACAAGCAATCAAACAAATAAACAGTACAGCACTCTGACACGCAAAAACGTTTCACTGTCTTTCACTTTCACTGCCCCACACAGCAGAAAGGCTTCTCCAAATAAACTAAACCATCAAAATAAACAAAATAAAAGTTCATATTACAAGGGCCAAAATCAACTAAAAAGGGTCTAACTATCTAATAGTGGTCAAACAAACTAAAAAGGGTCAGAATTATTTTAAAATAAACTAAAAATAAGCTAAAAAGAATCAGAACTATCTAAAAATAAACTAAAAATTAACTAAACATAAACTAAAAAGAGTCAGAATGATCTAATAATGAAGTAAAAATAAAGTCAAAATAACTTAAAAAAAGGTCAGAATTATTTAAAAATAAAATAAAAATTTACTAAACATGAACTAAAAAGAGTCAGAATTATCTACAAATAAACTAAAAAGGGTCAGAATGATCTAAAAATAAAGTAAAAATAAAGTAAATAATGTAGTAAAAAGGGTCAGAATGATTTAAAAATAAAGTAAAATTAAAGTAAAAATAAACTAAAAAGGGTCAGAATGATTTAAAAATAAAGTAAAAATAAAGTAAAAATAAACTAAAAAGTGTCATAATGATTTAAAAATAAAGTAAAAATAAAGTAAAAATAAAGTAAAAAGGGTCAGAATGATTTAAAAATAAAGTAAAAATAAAGTAAAAAGGGTCATTATGATCTAAAAATAACGTAAAAATAAAGTAAAAATAAACTAAAAAGGGTCATTATGATCTAAAAATAAAGGAAAAATAAACTAAAAAGGGTCAGAATTATCTAAAAATAAACTAAAAATAAAGTAAAAATAAATCAAAAAGTGTCAGAATTATCTAAAAATGAAGTAAAAATAAAGTAAAAGTAAACTAAAATGGGTCGAAATTATCTTAAAACAAAGTAAAAATAAACTAAAAAGGGTCAGAATTATCTAAAAATAAACTAAAAATAAAAATAAACTATAAAAGGTTCATGATAAGCTCAAAAAAGAGTCTAAACAACCTAAAAAGGGTAAATAAATTACAACATTAAAAATACAATAAAGAGGTGAGAATACACTAAAAAGGGTCAAACAATTAAAAAGAGTATAAAACTCTAAACTCTAAAAATGTGTTAAAATAAACTACAAAAGAATCAGAATAAAGTAAAAGAATGAAAATAAAGGAATCAGAATAAAGTAAACGGGTCAGTGGACAGTGAAGAGTGAACTGAGGCCACTGAAGGGGTGAAAAATGGTTTTATCCCTCACGATGTTCTTTAAATATCACATCCAAACTGTCCACATTTCAGAGTCTTGTTTTTTTGTGTTGTGTTCAGTGTGTAACAGCATAAAGACTCCTGACCTGAACAAACACTGACTCATCATCACAGAGTTAAAACACCAACACTACAGCTGTACACTCGTCTACACAACCTGCAGACCATAAACACACACCTCTCTCTTTCTCGCTGTTCTCTTTTTCTCTGCTCTCTCTCTCCGTAATCACTGTTATCAGGTGTGAGTGCTCTTCTTCTCCTCCTCCTCTGCTCTCTGAGTTCACTCTGTTCATTTGATCTAATGTGACGATTCTTTTCGCTTAACAGACGACAAGAACGGCTATCAGCATTCTGATGGTTCTAATTGGCTCAGCTAATTTTAGAGCAGCTTCTGGACTCCAGAGTTCTGACGCCTCGAGGTGTTTACTGACTTCAACACGTTCAGAGAGACACTGAAGAACAAGGAAGGTGGGTGTTTCTAATAAAGTGGCCAGTTAGTGGAAATAAAAGGTGGGTGTTTCAGATAAAGTGGCCAGTTAGTGGAACTAGAAGGTGGGTGTTTCTAATAAAGTGGCCAGTTAGTGGAAGTAGAAGGTGGGTGTTTCTAATAAAGTGGCCAGTTAGTGGAAGTAGAGGGGGTGTTTCTGATAAAGTGGCCAGTTAGTGAAACTAGAAGGTGGGTGTTTCTAATAAAGTGGCCAGTTAGTGAAACTAGAAGGTGGGTGCTTCTAATAAAGTGGCCAGTTAGTGGAAGTAGAAGGGGGGTGTTTCTGATAAAGTGGCCAGTCAGTGGAAGTAGAAGGGGGGTGTTTCTGATAAAGTGGCCAGTTAGTGGAAGTAGAAGGGGGGTGTTTCTGATAAAGTGGCCAGTTAGTGGAAGTAGAAGGGGGGTGTTTATGATAAAGTGGCCAGTTAGTGGAAGTAGAAGTTGGGTGTTTCTAATAAAGTGGCCAGTTAGTGGAAGTAGAAGTTGGGTGTTTCTAATAAAGTGGCCAGTTAGTGATAGTAGAAGAGGGGTGTTTCTAATAAAGTGGCCAGTTAGTGGAAGTAGAAGTGGGGGTGTTTATGATAAAGTGGCCAGTTAGTGAAGTAGAAGTTGGGGTGTTTCTAATAAAGTGGCCAGTTACTGAAACTAGAAGGTGGGTGTTTCTAATAAAGTGGCCAGTTAGTGGAAGTAGAAGGGGGGTGTTTATGATAAAGTGGCCAGTTAGTGGAAGTAGAAGGGGGGTGTTTATGATAAAGTGTCCAGTTAGTGGAAGTAGAAGGGGGGTGTTTCTGATAAAGTGGCCAGTTAGTGGACGTAGAAGGGGGGTGTTTCTAATAAAGTGGCCAGTTACTGAAACTAGAAGGTGGGTGTTTCTAATAAAGTGGCCAGTTAGTGGAAGTAGAAGGGGGGTGTTTCTGATAAAGTGGCCAGTCAGTGGAAGTAGAAGGGGGGTGTTTCTAATAAAGTGGCCAGTCAGTGGAAGTAGAAGGGGGTGTTTATGATAAAGTAGCCACTGAGTGGAACTAGAAGGTAGGTGTTTCTAATAAAGTGGCCACTGAGTGGACATAGATGGGGGGTGTTTATGATAAAGTGGCCAGTTAGTGGAAGTAGAAGGGGGTGTTTATGATAAAGTGGCCAGTTAGTGGAAGTAGAAGGTGGGTGTTTCTGATAAAGTGGCCAGTTAGTGGAAGTAGAAGGGGGGTGTTTCTGATAAAGTGGCCAGTTAGTGGAAGTAGAAGGGGGGTGTTTCTGATAAAGTGGCCAGTTAGTGGAAGTAGAGGGGGTGTTTCTAATAAAGTGGCCACTGAGTGGACATAGATGGGGGGTGTTTATGATAAAGTGGCCAGTTAGTGGAAGTAGAAGGGGGGTGTTTCTGATAAAGTGGCCAGTTAGTGGACGTAGAAGGGGGGTGTTTCTGATAAAGTGGCCAGTTAGTGAAACTAGAAGGTGGGTGTTTCTAATAAAGTGGCCAGTTAGTGGAAGTAGAAGGGGGGTGTTTCTGATAAAGTGGCCAGTTAGTGGACGTAGAAGGGGGTGTTTCTAATAAAGTGGCCAGTTAGTGGAACTAGAAGGTGGGTGTTTCTAATAAAGTGGCCAGTTAGTGGACGTAGAAGGGGGTGTTTATGATAAAGTGGCCAGTTAGTGGAAGTAGAAGGGGGGTGTTTCTGATAAAGTGGCCAGTTAGTGGAAGTAGAAGGGGGGTGTTTATGATAAAGTGGCCAGTTAGTGGAAGTAGAAGGGGGGTGTTTATGATAAAGTGGCCAGTTAGTGGAAGTAGAAGTTGGGTGTTTCAGATAAAGTGGCCAGTTACTGAAACTAGAAGGTGGGTGTTTCTAATAAAGTGGCCAGTTAGTGGAAGTAGAAGGGGGGTGTTTCTGATAAAGTGGCCAGTCAGTGGAAGTAGAAGGGGGGTGTTTATGATAAAGTAGCCACTGAGTGGAACTAGAAGGTAGGTGTTTCTAATAAAGTGGCCACTGAGTGGACATAGAAGGGGGGTGTTTATGATAAAGTGGCCAGTTAGTGGAAGTAGAAGGGGGTGTTTATGATAAAGTGTCCAGTTAGTGGAAGTAGAAGGGGGGTGTTTCTGATAAAATGGCCAGTTAGTGGAAGTAGAAGGGGGGTGTTTCTGATAAAGTGGCCAGTTAGTGGAAGTAGAAGGGGGGTGTTTATGATAAAGTGTCCAGTTAGTGGAAGTAGAAGGGGGGTGTTTCTAATAAAGTGGCCAGTTAAGGCAGGTGTTTCTGATGAAGTGGCCAGTTCGTGCAAGTAGAAGGGGGCGTTTCCAATTTAAATGTATCTGTACTGTAAATGTAAATGAATCTGCATATCAGTGGCATAAATTTAACAGCTCTGCATTGTTTTAGTGTGACATGGTGCAGAGTGATGATGACAGCGCTGTGTCTATAATTACTGCACAGTTGGGGAGCCACACTTTAACCTCGTATCTGTGTGATTTTGACTGTGCAGGCAGGTATATAACACACACACAGCTCACAGCACGCCGCTAATGCCACTCTGCATGAGACGAAGGGTGAAGGATAAACCAAAGTTCAGAGAGAGAGAGAGAGAGGGGCTTTTATTTTCTTTACTGGGTCGTGACATGCTGTGTCTGGAGCGTAAAAAATAAAACTATTTCTGAGCCTGCGTCGCCGTGACAACCTCCATTACAGCCTGTTCACTAGATTTGGTATGGAGATTCTTCTGCTACAACGGACTCACTTACAGAGAGAGAGAGAAAGAGAGAGAGAGAGAGAGAGAGTCACACTACAGGGTTTTTATGGCACATGGGTTAAAATTCAACCACACGACCATAAACCCTTAAAAATTACATTCTCTGTGCGTCATTCAAAAATATATATACAGCACGGTGGATAAGTCACATAATACAATCTGTCAGAGTGACTGTGTGGATCATATGAACATTATAGAGGCTTTTTAAATGAAACCGTAGAAGCCATATCGCCCCCTACACTTCCTGTAGTGTATTACAGTCTGTCAGAGTGACTGTGTGGATCATATGAACACATATATGAATAAGAAAGCTTTACAATCAAAATGAAACCAGTATCATAAACACAGTGGCCGACATGCAGCTCCCTCTGACCGATGACTCCTACATAAACACACGTTCCACAGAGCTGCACAGATCTTCCTCAGGACTTCTCTCAGAGTCCGCTGAGTGAAAGTCCTCCAGAACATTCAGTGATTTAGTCCAGGTTCTAACTGAGTGACCCTCAGAGGTCCTCCTGTCCACTGGATTTCTCTCAGTGTCTGAGGAGAGGGTTCTTCACCAGCGTCGGCAGAGAACCTCCTGCTGAAGTAAAATTCTCCATCGCCTTCAAAACGTACGTCAGGGGAGAGAGAGAGAGAGAGAGAGAGACAGACAGACAGACAGGAGGATCCTGCTAAGGTACATTCATCTCTTTTCTTCTCTGGGTTACAAAGAGATATCATTTATTAGCCTTGAGCTTCATAACCATGTTATTACAGCTTACACATGAGGGGTGAGTATAATCTGACTTCTACTTCTGCTTCCACTTTTACTTCCACATCTAGTTTAACTTCTACTTTTACTTCTTCTATGTCCACTTCAACTTCTGTTTACACCTCTACTTTAACTTTCACTTCAACTTCCATCTCGGCTTCCGCTCTACTTTTGCTTCTATTTCCACATCCACTTCAACTTCTTCTTCCACTTCCACTTTAGCTTCTATTTTTACGTCTAATTCCACTTAAACTTCTATTTCATTTTCCACTTCAACTTTTATTTCTACTTCTACATCCACTTCAAGTCTACTTCCACTTCCATCTCTGCTTCCACTCTACTTTTGCTTCTACTTCTTTGTCCACTTCAACTTCAGTTGACACTTCTATTTGTACTTCCATTTCAATGTCTGCATCTACTTCTTCTTTTACTTCTGTTTCCACTTTCACTTCAACTTCTTCTTCCACTTCCACTTTAGCTTCTATTTTTACCTCCAACTTTTATTTGTCCTTCTACATCCACTTCAAATTCTACTTCCACTTTTACTTTGACTGCTATTTCCACTTCAACTTCCATCTCTGGTTCCACTTCAACTTTGCCTTCTACTTCCACTTTAGCTTCTAATTTTACTTCTAAGTCCACTTAAACTTCGATTTCGACTTCCACTTTAACTTTTATTTCCACTTCTACTTCTGCTTCTACATCCACTTCAAGTTCTACTTCCATGCGTACTTTTACTGCCAGTCTGACTTCCATCTCTGCTTCCACTCTACTTTTGCTTCTATTCTACGTCCACTTCAACTTTTGTTTACACCTCTACTTCGACTTTCACTTCAATTTCTACTTCTACTTCGATTTAAACTTCTACTTCTACTTCTTCCTTTACTTCTATTTCCCCTTCCACTTCTCCTTATACTTTCACTTTAGCTTCTATTTTTACTTCTAATTCCACTTAAACGTCTATTTCTACTTCCCTTTCAACTTTTATTTCTACTTCTGTTCCTTCTTCTACATCCACTTCAACTTCCATCTCTGCTTCCACTCTACCTTTGCTTCTATTTCTATATCCACTTCAGGTTCTACCTCTGCTTGTTCTACTTTTGCTTCTTCTTCTACTTCAACTTCCATTTACACCTCTACTTCAACTTCCACTTCTAGTTTTGCTTCTATTTCCACTTCAATGTCTACTTCCACATCTACTTCTATTTTGGCCTCTGTTTAGTGGAGTGACCTCCACTCTACTGCTTCCTATCAATTTCTACTTCTACATCAACTTCCATGTTTACTTCTATTTCTAAATGTGAACCTGTTCTACATAACTATGGCAACAATTTTTTGCCATGTTTTTCTTTTAAATCTACATGAAGCTCAATTTTAAACAGGACAATTTCTCCACTTTGTTACTTTGTGAACTACGAGAATTAAACAGATTACAGAGGACGTGTTTCAAACAGTTAAAATCTGAGGGAGCTAAAAGGATTCATTTCTAAACGAGTGTACAGTATCTCTCTCTCTCTCTCACTCTCTCTCTCTGTCGCTCTCTCTCTCTATCTCTCTCTCTCTCTCTCAATCTCTGTATGTAGCAGATGGTGAGTGTGTGAGTACATTACCATGATGGTGGTGACGATGACGGTTCGGTTCTCCATGGCTGATCCGTTTCCTCCTCCCAGCTCGTTCTGCACCAGCACCAGTTTATCAATATCGTTCCAGTAACCGATCTACATACAGTGAGAGGAGGATCAGAGAGTGAGAATGTCAGGACTCTAGTAAACATATTTTCACACTATAGAGCCAAAAGTATTTGGATCCCCCTCATAATTATTGGGTTCAGGTGTTTCAGGTACACTTGTTGCAAACAGGTGTATAAAATAAAGCACATAGTCATGCAGTCAAGTGTCGACTGGAGTGGCGTAAAGCGCCGCCACTGGACTCTGGAAACATGTTCTCTGGAGTGATGAATCAGCCTCTCTATCTGTCAGTCAGTGAAGGGTGATGTTCATCCTGTTAATCCTCACAAAGACATTTTACACAATTATATGTTTCCAGGTTTGTGTCAGCAGTTTGGGGGACAGCCTTTCCTGTTCCAGCATGACTGAGTCCCTGTGCACAAAGCAGCTCCATAAAGACATGGAGTGACCAGTTTGGTGTGGAGGAACTCCAGTGGCCTGCACAGAGTCCTGACCTCAACCCCACTGAACACCTTTGGGATGAACTAGAATGGAGATTGTGAGCCAGGCCCTCTCGTCCAAACATCAGGTGTCCACATACTTTTAGTCATATAGTGTATATCATATATATACTAACCTTTTGAGGTCCATTACTCCTCAGTTCAAACACGTCCATGGTGTAGTTCACTCTGCGTCCATAATGGTCAAACTGAATATTCCCTGTCAGACCCTGGATACGCACCTACACACACACACACACACACACACACCCCATCAGTAGCACAGAAGTCCATCAGATCTCTTTTACTGATGTGGATGGCTATTAGCATCCAGTCTGTGGTTTAACCCTCTGGGGTCCACAAACTCATCTGCGCATCAAATGTGTCTGTTAAGATGTGTCATGTATGGTTTACCTGTTTTAAAGTGTGTTTTGTACAGCCCACCTGTTCAGGTGTGTCATGTATGGTTTACCTGTTTTAAGGTGTGTTTTGTACAGCCCACCTGTTAAGATGTGTCATGTATGGTTTACCTGTTTTAAGGTGTGTTTTGTACAGCCCACCTGTTCAGGTGTGTCATGTATGGTTTACCTGTTTTAAGGTGTGTTTTGTACAGCCCACCTGTTCAGGTGTGTCATGTATGGTTTACCTGTTTTAAGGTGTGTTTTGTACAGCCCACCTGTTCAGGTGTGTCATGTATGGTTTACCTGTTTTAAGGTGCGTTTTGTATCGCTCACCTGTTAAGATGAGTCATGTATGGTTTACCTGTTTTAAGGTGCGCTCCATGTCAATGCCCTGATTCCATGGGGCCGCAGGGATTGGCCAGACAGTCTCCAGCGTTCCCTCTGCGAGAGATGTCGATTTTCTGGCGTCGAAGGTTGCGGAAAGCCTCGGCCATCACCAGCACGGCATCGTACGTCAGGGAGGAAGTGTACTGAGGAAGACATCACATCACTTCCTGTTACTTTCCTTCACCATGACTCATCCCTGGAGGACTTCATTACCCATGATTAATTGTTGCATAATGAGAGAGTCTTTAAATAAACAGTTGTAATGATCCAGAAAACTGGCTTTAGGGTAAAACAAAAAAAATCAGTTTATAAATCATATTCACAACAGCTAGAATCTGCTGTGTCTGATCCACTCGCACCAGCGCAACACACACTAACACACCACCACGTCACTGTTACTGCAATGCTGAGAATGATCCACCACCCAAATAGTACCTGCTCTGTGAGGGTCCTGTGGGGGTTCTGACCATTGAAGAACATGGTAACAAAGTATGCAGAGAAACAGATGGACTACAGTCTGTAACTGTAGAACTACAGAGTGAAACGATACGGTCAGTGGAGCTGATAAAGTGGACAGTGAGTGTAGAAACAAGGAGGTGGACTTAATGAAGAGATCAACGTTACTCATGACTGTTTGAACTGTGTTCTGCTCTAATACAGGGAACTGTGCTGTAGTGTGAGTATCACGGTTATGATGTCAGAAGGAGAAACACTCTTAGAGCTGCTACTGTTTTCATTATAGTTATCACATGATATTGATCATTTGGATAACACTGTAGAGCCATCAATATCCATAAAGAGAACACGGGATTGAGCCAAACTGGATAAAAAGACAGGGGAGAGAGAGAGAGAGAGAGAGAGAGAGAGAGAGCAGTATTACGCTGGGTAGAGTTGGGGTGTGTAATATATGCGGAGTGCAGGATAGACGATCAATATGAATGACTAAAGAGCTCCATGTCATCAATACTGCAACCAGCGGAGGACAGAGGAAAGACGATCAGAGAGAGAGAGAGAGAGCGAGAGAACAGAGAGGAGAGAGAGAGAGACACTAACAGTTTTTTCCTGGCCACTTTATTAGAAACATCTATCTTCTGCTTCTACTAACTGGTCACTTTATTGGGAACACCCACCTTCTGCTTCCACAAACTGGACACTTTATTAGAAACGCCCACCTTCTACTTCCGATAACTGGCCACTTTATTAGAAACGCCCACCTTCTACTTCCAATAACTGGCCACTTTATCAGAAACACCTAACAGGATTGGCCTAAACAAAATTCTAGGATTTGAAAGTTCTCCTGAGCTGGAATGCTATTGGCCGGGACTGGATGCCCCACCCTACCTTGGGCGGGGTTTCTGAGCCAGGATACTCCCTCTGGTCCAGTTTGTTCCAGCGCTGCATGAGTTTGATGACCATCGGTTTACTGAAGTCCACCAGCTGAAAACCCGTAACATTCGCTCCACCATGCATGAACCTCTCCAGAGAGATATCCTTAAAACCCTGAGAGATAGAGAGAGAGAGAGAGAGAGAGACAGAGAAAGACAGAGACAGAGAGAGAGAGAGAGAGAGAGAGAGAGAGAGAGAGAGAGACATAGACAGAGAGAGACAGAGAGAGAGAGAGAGAGAGAGAGAGAGAGACATAGGCAGAGACAGAGACGAGACAGAGAGAGAGAGAGAGAGAGAGAGAGAGAGACATAGGCAGAGACAGAGACAGAGAGAGAGAGAGAGAGAGATTAGATCAGTGAGTTGGTCACAGACATCAATAACAAACAATCAGAAGTAATTTGTCTCTGTGTCACTCAGAAAAAAACCCAACAGGAAAGATGAACAACAAAGAAGGATAGGAAACACAGAAAGAAAAAGTGGAGAAAGAGGGAAAGAAAAAGAACTAAAAAAGAAAGAAAGAATGGGAAAAATATAGAAAGAAAGAAAGAAAGAAGGAAAGAAAGAAAGAAAGGAAGTAGGAGAAAGGAAGGAAACTGGAAGAAAAAAGATAAAAAGGTGAAAGGAAGGAGAAAGATTGAAAAAAGAAATGAAGAAGAAAGAAAAAAGAAGACAAAGAAAGAATAAAAGAAAGAGAAAATGAAGGATGTAGGTAACACTGTTAAAATCTCTCTCTCTGTGACTCTGCAGTGTCTCTCTCTCCCTCTCTGAGCTGTGATGCAGGCAGACACTCACCAGGTTGGCAATGATGTAATGATATCCCTTCACATGCTTCCCCACACTGACCGCCTGCAGCAGAGAGAGAGAGTGTGTAAAGAAAGAGGGAGAGAGAGGAAAGCAGAGTGAGCCAGCAGGGCTGAGGAAGATCTTTTATTGAACACAGCAGCAGCAGGAGAACCGCCGAGAGAGCAGGCAGCTCACCTCTCACCACACACCATCACCTGAAGGGAAACAGTAAAACCACACAAACTACACAAAAACTCAAAGAACCCTTTGCATGATTTGAAATGGTTGTTCAGATTGATTGAGAATGTGCTGGATCAGATGACAAGGGTCACTGGCTGAGAGACTTTACATCACTACGGGGATTTTGACCGGGTCACTGGCTGAGAGACTTTACATCACTACGGGGATTTTGACCAGGTCACTGGCTGAGAGACTTTACATCACTTGGGGGATTTTGACCGGGTCACTGGCTGAGAGACTTTACATCACTAGGGGAATTTTGACCGGGTCACTGGCTGAGAGACTTTACATCACTAGGGGAATTTTGACCGGGTCACTGGCTGAGAGACTTTACATCACTAGGGGAATTTTGACTGGGTCACTGGCTGAGAGACTTTACATCACTAGGGGAATTTTGACTGGGTCACTGGCTGAGAGACTTTACATCACTAGGGGGATTTTGACCGGGTCACTGGCTGAGAGACTTTACATCACTAGGGGGATTTTGACCGGGTCACTGGCTGAGAGACTTTACATCACTAGGGGGAGTTTGACCAGGGCGCTGGCTGAGAGACTTTACATCACTAGGGGGATTATGAATGGGCCATTGGCTGAAAAACTTTACATCACTAGGGGGATTTTGATTGGGCCACTGGCTGAGAGACTTTACATCACTAGGGGAATTTTGACCGGGTCACTAGCTGAGAGACTTTACATCACTAGGGGAATTTTGACCGGGTCACTGGCTGAGAGACTTTACACCACTAGGGGGATTTTGACCGGGTCACTGGCTGAGAGACTTTACATCACTAGGGGGAGTTTGACTGGGCCACTTGCTGAGAGACTTTACATCACTAGGGGGATTTTGACCAGGGCGCTGGTTGAGAGACTTTACATCACTAGGGGGATTTATGAATGGGCCATTGGCTGAAAAACTTTACATCACTAGGGGGATTTTGACTGGGCCACTGGCTGAGAGACTTTACATCACTAGGGGGTTTTGACCAGTGAGCCAGACCAGTCTTTACACATACAAGGAATTTGGTTTTGGTTACGGGAGCTCACAGTGCACAGTATCAGACAAACATTTACATGTAGTAAATAAAATAAAACAAAATAAAATATGTACTCCTATCATCACTCACTCATGCACACACATATACACACAGAGTCATAGTTATACCTGTAAACCTTAAGAGGTGTAAAGTCTCTCAGCCAATGGCCCCGTCAAACTCCTCTTAGTGGTGTAAAGTCTTTTGACCTATTGCCAGGTCAAACCTACTAAAGTGGTGTAAAGCCTTTTGACCTGTTGCCCAGTCAAACTCTTCCCAAAGATTTAAAGACTCTCAGCCAGTGGCCCAGTCAAACTCCTCTTAGTGGTGTAAAGCCCTTTAACCTATTGCCAGGTCAAACCTCCCCTAGTGGTGTAAAGTCTCTCAGCCAGTGGCCCAGTCAATAACCCTCTAGTGGTGTAAAGACTCTCAGCCAGTGGCCCAGTCAATAACCCTCTAGTGGTGTAAAGACTCTCAGCCAGTGGCCCAGTCAATAACCCTCTAGTGGTGTAAAGACTCTCAGCCAGTGGCCCAGTCAAGAACCTCCTAGTGGTGTAAAGTCTCTCAGCCAGTGGCCCAGTCAAGAACCTTCTAGTGATATAAAGTTTCTTGGCCAGTGACCCAGTCAAGAACCTTCCAGTGGTGTAAAGTCTCGCAGCCAGTGACCCAGTCAAGCTTCCCCTAGTGGGGTGAAGTCTCTTGATTCATGGCCCAGCCGAACTCCCCCATTAATGTAAAGTGTCTCAGCCAGCAGTCCTGCCAAACCCCTCCTAGTGCTACAAAGCCTTGTGAACAATGTTCCAGCCAAACTCCTCCCAGTGGTGAAAAGTTGATGTAAGCCCAGCCAAACTCTACTGCCTCAGGGCAAGGTCTATCAGCCAAACTCCCCCAGTTGTGTAAAGTCTCCCAGCCAGCAGCCAAAAAACAAACTACACCACGGTGGTGCTAAGCCTCTCAGGCTGTGGCCCAGTCAGCCTCCCCCTGGCAGTGTAAAGTCTCTCGGCCTGAAATATAGTGGTAATCTGAAAAAGCTGTTTTTCTGGGGGGGACTATTTTTGTCTCACGTCCTGCATGTATCTCTCCACCATGAATGGATTTTAAGGCCGAAATCTCAAACATAAAACAGTGTCTCAGTCATCAGGCAGTGAATTCATAACCGTTTCATGTAGTAACTTTCTGTGAGGGAGCTTTTAGAGGTGGACGTCTGGTTCCTATCACCACCACTGTGAACAGTTCTGACTCTGTAAGTTTATCTAGAATGGAGCGTTTCACACCAAACCACTCTGAACCACTCTGTTCACAGCTTGTTTGATTATAAGGGAATGTTGGAAAAACCTTTAAGCTCTATGAATGATCTTTCATGCTTCACACGCTTTTATCCTTTTTAAAAGCGATTTCAGTGAATTCCACTGAAACGAATGTAATTTTCTGGGTAAAAGCTGGCGTGACTGAGCCTCTGTACACCCACCAGCAGTGAAGAGCAGGAGTGATTTATAAAGGGGTGAGTGGGTGTGTTTAAGCTCTGATTAATTAGTCTGCTATCACAGCTAATGAACAAATACAGATAGAGAGAGAGAGAGAGAGAGAGAGAGAGAGGACAGACAGAGGAACACCCAGACAGCGCTGAGGCTCTACAGCTGTCTGATCACTGTCTGATCTCTCTGGAGTTCCTCTTCCAGACCTGAACTCTTTCTCCTTTTAACACCTTCACCCCTCATTCTCTCCTTCCTCCATTCCCCCACACATGCTCCTCTCCTCTCCTCTCCTCTCCTGTTCACTCCTTTCATCTCTCCTCTCACCTCCTCTCCTCTCCCCTCCTTTCTTATCTCCCTCCTGTCCTCTCTTTTCCCCTCACACCCTCCTCTCCTCACTCTCTCCTCCTTTCTTATCTCGCTCCTTTCCTCCTCTCCTGTTCTCCTTTCTTGTCTCTCTCCTCCTCTCTCCTCCCTTCTCTTCTCTCATATCCTCTCTTCTGTCTTTGTTTCTTATCTCACTCCTCTTATCTCCTCCTCTCTCTTCTCCTCTCTTCGCTCCTCTCCTCTCCCATTCTCTCCTCTGTTCTCTCCTCTCCTCTGCCTTCCTTTCTTATCTCTCCTCTCCTCTCTCCTCTTCCATTCTCTCCTCTCTCCTTGCCTCCTTTCTTATCTCTTTCCTCTTCTTTCTCCTCTCCTCTCCTCACACCCTCCTCTCCTCTCTTGTCTCTCTCCTATCCTCTCTTATCTCTCTCCTCTCCTCTCCTCATCCATTCTCTCTTCTGTCCTTGCCTTCTTTCTGATCTCTTTCCTCTTCTTTCTCCTCTCCCCTCCTCTCCTCTCCTCTCCTCTCCTCTCTTCCTTTCTTTCTCTCTCCTCTCTTCTCTCCCATCCTCTCTCCTCCTCTCTCCTCCTCTGTTCCTCCACAGCTGGCCCGGTGGTCTTTCTTCACTCTGGCAGAGTGATCAGTGCCTGTGGAGAAGAGCAGTCTGTTTGTCTTCTACCTGCTCACCTCCTGCTGCTTAACTGATGGAGCGCTGTGTGTGTGTGTGTGTGTGTGTGTGTGTGTGTGTGTGTGTGTGAGTGTGTGTGTGAGTGTGTTTGACAGTCTGATAGATAGAACCCTGCAAGCCTCACCGGAGGAGCAGCAGGCCAGAAGCAGGTAGACACAACACATTACAATCACATACTACAACAGAGAGAGAGAGAGAGAGAGAGAGAGAGAGAGAGAGAGAGAAACAGAGAGTGCAAAAAAGAGAAGTGGAGAAAAAGAGAGAGAGAGAGGGTGAGAGGGAGAGAGAGAGTGAGAGAGCTCCAGTCTGAGCTGAGCTGTTATATGGAGAATTGTGGAGCTGTAATCTCTGTGTTTGTTCTGTTTGAATGTTTATTTCAAAGACTGACTGGTGTTATTTTGTATTACACGTCTACTGTAGCCCAAACACCTTTATCCTCTCTCTCTCTCTCTCTCTCTCTCTCTCTCTCTCTCTCACACACACACACACACACACACACTCTCTCTTACTCTTACTCTATCTTTTTCTCTCTCTTTCTGTATTTCCACTTGGCAGACTGAGCAGTGCTTGTGCTGAAACAATTGGAGGAGAATTGGTGTGAGATTGTGCAGGATGAGCAGACAGACCGAAAGACAGACAGACGGAGGTGAAAAAACCCTTTAAAATTAGTGTTTTTTCTGCACCACTTAGAGCAGCTTTAGAGTCATCTCATTCACATGAATTTAAAATGAGTCACTCACTACAAGATCAAAACACCATCATTCTTTCACAAATCGTATAATTCTGGATCAGGCACCATCCTTCCCTACCAAATGCCATCATTCTACAGCAAACACCATCATTCTACAACAAACACCATCATTCTACAACAAACACCATCATTCTACAACACCACTATTCTCCAATAAACACCATCATTTTCCAACAAATACCATCATTCTCCACCAAACACCATTATTCTCCAAAAAACATCATTCTCCACCAAACATCATCATTCTCCAATAAACACCATCACTCTACAAAAACACCATCTTTCTCCAACAAACACCATCATTGTCCAACAAACACCATCAGTCTCCAACAAACACCACCATTCTCCAATAAATACCATCATTCTCCACCAAACACCACCATTCTCCAAAAACATCATCACTCTCCAAAAACACCATCATTCTCCAATAAACACCATCATTCTCCAATAAATACCATCATTCTCCACCAACTACCAACATTCTCCATCAAACATCATCATTCTCCATCAAACACCATCATTCTACAACAAACATCATTCTCAAACAAACACCATCATTCTCCAATAAACACCATCATTCTCCAACAAACACCATCATTCTCCAACAAACACCATCATTCTCCAACAAATACCACCATTCTCCAACAAACATCATCATTTTCCTCCAAACACCATTATTCTCCAAAAAAACATCATTCTCCAGTAAACACCATCATTCTCCACCAACTACCAACATTCTCCAACAAACATCATCATTCTCCAATAAACACCTTTCGTCTACATTTAACATCATCATTCCCCACAAAAAACATTCACCAACAAACACCGTCATTCTCTAGTAAAGACCATCATTCTTCAACACCACCATTCTCCTCCAAATACCACCATTCTCCAAATATTGTCCAATAAACACTATCATTCTTCCACTATTCTTCAACAAACACTTTCTTCTTCTTAAACATCATCATTCTAAAAAACATCAAACACCGTCATTCCGAAAACCGCCAAACACCACCCTTCTCTAACAAACACCATCATTCTCCTATAAACACCATCATTCTCCAACAAACACCATCATTCTCCTATAAACACCATCATTCTCCAACAAACACCATCATTCTCGAAAACACTAAACAATCTCAAAAACACTAAACAATCCCAAAAAACAGCAACATTCAACACCAAATCCAACAATTTTACCTGACCACGCCCCCCCCTCCCCCCTCACTGGAAAACCTCAGGATTTGGAGCCACCTTCTTCATTCTGAGGCACTTTCACATGTTCTGGATACCTCTGAAATGTTCTCACCTGTTCTAGAATAGTCTGGAGACGTTCTGGCTCCAGGTCGATGACAAACTTTTTCTCCTGCCGCCGGTCGAGGTCCTCTAGGAGGCGCCGGTAGCCAGCGTCATTAAAGTTCTCCACGCAGATGGCGCTGACCTGCCAGCCGTTCTGGCCCGCCTTCTCCATAATGGCCTGCAGGATGGCATATCCTATACAAGCGTGCACAGACACAGACACACAGGGTGGGAAGTTTGGGTTAGGCACACAAACCTGGCTGTGGTTACACGGACAGCTTCCTACACAATACATCATATTTTGGACTGTTGCCTAGTTACCTGCTCCAGTCGCCCCCGGCATCCTGTCAGCCATCACTGTGGACATACCGAGGCTGAGCATGTGTGCTACAGAGGCCAAGAGCAACAGATGGCCTCTAAACTGCCTCTTAGTTTCACTGCTGGAGCAATCTGTCCATCAGTGTGTGTATGTGTGTGTGTGTGTGTGTGTGTGTGTGTGTGTGTGTGCATAATCTAATATTCGGTGAGTGCGTGGAGTGTGTTGTCCTTCCCAAACTGACATACGGAACATCAGTGTTGTACCTGCCAGTGATTAATTTCCTGCAGTGCTTTTCCAAAGAGGCACAGACAGTAAGATATGCAAGTGTGTGTATATTTATACAACAGTTAGTTCCAATGACACGACCTGATTGGTTGAGAAGTGTTCCTTTCACTATAAAGCTGCTTTTCCACCAGAAGGTACCACCTTGACTCAACTTGCCTTTTTTGGTTTCCTATTAGGCAAATCTGGTACCTGGTACCCGGCACTTCTTTGGGTATCACCTCCATGGAGGTTCAGAGCAAGCTGAGCCGACACCAAAAAGTGGTGTAAAAATGCTGCAGACTACTACAATTAGTCAGAGAGAATTACGGAACACGTATGCTAACATTAGCTACCAGGTTAGCGTAGCCTTTCACATCACCTTTGAGCAACCAGCATCATCTCGTCATCTGAACTCTGATGTAGTTTGTCCCAAACTTTCCTGTTTTTCATCTCGCTGCCATCAGCCTCTTCTGAATGTAATATGTCGACGACCAGCTACATTGAGGGGGCGCTATATCTGCAGTGGAAAATGAAGTAGCTGGTACCAAAAGCCAGTAGAGTCGAATTGAGCCCAGCCATGCCATGTAGTAGAACAGTGGCTTAACTGTGTAATTCAGCACCAGCACCAGTTGATACCTAACAACTTGTTTTTTGCTGCATCTAAAGTTATTAAGTTACTACAAATGTCAATTCCAAAAAAACAGGACAGTATGTGAAATGCTAATAAAGACAGACCTACATGATATTTGATGGTTTAGCTGTGTTGTTTTTCAAATTTGATACCTGCAACAGGTTCCAAAAAGTTGTGAGAAAATGTTTTAACCTCTCCTTTTGAATCTCTGAAAAAGACATCTGGAAGGTAGCATATGTTGCTCTAAAATGTCTAGATATTGTGATAGGTGTAGAAGACAATGTGGGAGAGACCGTGCATGTGAATAGGCAGCAAAGGGAAACCACTGTTTCAGATTGTTTATGGAAATAATAGACATTATATTCTCTGGGCCAAAGAAGAAGAAGAAGAAGAAGAGGACCATCCAGACTGTTACCAACATAAAGTTCAAAATCCAGCATCTGTTATGGAGTGGGTGGGGGGGTAGTGGGTAACCTGCACATCTGTGAAAGCACTAGTAACACAAAGATATTGTGGCCTCTGCCACAGTCTGCACTGCTGTGGGAGCTTGGGAGGCATGGCTATGTGCAGGGGCTCTCGGGAGGTGCTACGAATGCTCTTTTATTAAACAGGCAGCAAGGGGAAACCAACACTCAGTGCTACTGAACACAGTAGAATAGCAGGCAGGTCACTTCTAGTAATACGATTTCAATCTTTAGCTCCAGAATGATCGGCAAAAAAGAGAAGAGACATGCATGCAATCATGTGTGCAGTGGAACACTGCTTGCTGAACACAGGTAAGTCTTTGTAGTGTTTATCATGTCCTGACCCAGACATCAGGGCACTCTCAAGTCAGCTGCAGGTTTGTAATGAAATATTTCTGCAGATCTTGCTGTAGAATATAGTAACATCTGTAATATGCGCAGTGGAATGCAAAGTGGCTCCCGGAAGGCGCCACGCTCCTGGCCAAAAACGGACTCTTGTTATTGTAGTTTCTACTAGTGAAGTAGTTGTTTTTTGCTAAATTGTGTCCATGGAGGATGGGCTTTGTGTGTGTTTGTTCCCCCTCCATGTGTGTCATTTCCTCCCCTCGTTACACCCTTCCCGGTTTCGTGCTGGGTTAGCACTGGGCTGGGCAGTTTTCCCTTGCTGCTGTTTAGAATAAAAGAGCACACACATATACATGCTATGTTGTTTGTGTCTTCTTCTGTGCCGACGCTACTGTATATTGATATCTGTGTTTCCTAACCTCATGTCCATCCCCAGTTGAGACATGAGACGTCTCTTGTGGTTGCTTTTTTGTAGCCAAAACTCATTTTACCTCATCTAGAGTGCACGATTTACAAATTAGGAAGAAATTCTGTCAAAGACTGACGTGTAAGATGGTCCCCATTTTTGAAACTGTAAAGATTTTAGGATGTTAGGACTTTAAAAGTCATGTAGTGTACACTCGGCTTAACACACACACACACATATGAAAGTGTCAGTCTGACATCATAAGACCCCCAGATGTCCCTTTAGCAAACACAGACCGGAGACAGAAACCCACGAACTCTTCAGTCTGTGTGTTTACAGAAAGCATTGATCCTGTTTCTCTCTCTTTCTCTGTCTGAGATCAGGGTGTTTTTGTCTTTAGTCCAGGCACACTTGAGCTGGAGGGTTTATTTTGCAGCGTCACTGAAGGTTTGGAATCACATCAACTTTCCAAACAAACTTTTCTGTCGTAAGCCAAAGCCTACCAGCCCGAGGTTTTGAGATTTGGGTTATTTATCCAGGAGGACTGCAGCACTGCTAATGGACATACCAACAACAATGAAGATTGAAGTATCACATGTACAACAAAATATATTGGGCATTTTATTAGAAACACCTACTACTACAGAAGTGGACGGTTATAGCCTGTAGCCCATATGTTGCTGCTCAGCCCCCTCTACCCCATTAATGATTAAAGAGACCACCATAGGACCACCACTGACCAGATTATTTGGGTGGTCATCTTCTAGAGAGAGCGAGAGTAACCCTAACATTGGCAACAGATAGGGCAAAATATAGCAAGCTCAACAGTAGACCTGACCTGGCCAAAACCTTTGATTCTGAGAATCACTAAATCTTAACAAATAGACTGGGAGACATGGGGTCACAGGGTTTACAAACTATCTTTCTCTAAGGTCGCAGTATGTACAGTTAGAAAATATACTTTCTCCCTCCCATATGGTTACTAAAGGTGTCCTGAAAGGGTCAATATTGGGGCCTACATTTTTTTCCTACTTGAAATAATAATATTACTTTTGCTGCTGCTGATGCCTTCAGTCATTTACATGCTTATGTTACTATCCTATACTATCCTTTCCCCCTGAATCTGTGCTATGAATGCTCCAGCATAGCTTCCCCCACGTTCAAAATGCTTTTGCCAACAGAAACTAAATAAAAGTAGCCCAACTACCAGCCCCTGTGGTACTTTATATAAAACTCAGCTTTTATACATACAGTGTATGTCCTCAAGCTAAAAACAATGGACAGAACAAGAAAGAAATTAATAACTGTGTTTTAACAGTGTAAGTCTTGGCGTTTCTACAATGGAGTCCTGCAGTGATGAGGTTATGTGGGTCTAGATTTGAATTGTGAGGTCATGGCGAGGTCACTGCAGCTGCAGCCCCTCATCTAGATTAAAGTGTTCCTCTAATACACCAAAGGAAAAAGGAATAAAAAACTAAGGCAAGAAGGGGAAAAACGACAGCTCTATTGACCGACAAATCAATAAAAACAAAAGCAAAGGCATCTCTGGAGGCTGGAGCTACACAGATGGAGTAGAGGTCAAGTTTAAATGCTAACACTTTCAGAGCTAATATGAACAACACCTGCTAAAAACTGGAGAGAGGAGGGGTGTGGAGAGGAAGTAAAAAGGAGAGGAGAAAAGTGGAGAAGAAAGGGACAGAACAGATCTATTAGCTTCTGTTCTTCCACTCAGAGTGAGGGATCACGGATGAGTGGATGATTGGTGGTGAACCAGTGCTGCTCTGGGTTACGACTCATACTCCACTGAACACACATCCTGCAACCATAGGATATAATGGGGCAACATCGAGCTAGAGTGGGCTACAAAGGGATACTGTGAGAACTCTGGGCTGTGGTGGGATGCAGTGGGATACTGTGGAGCAACAGTGGGATATCGTGGTAGAACACTAAGCTGCAGTGGGATACTCTGGAACAACAGTGGAATACTGTGAGGCAACACTGGGATACTTTGGGGCAACACTGCAATACTGTGGGGTAATACTGGGATACGTTGCAGCAACATTGCAATACTGTGGGGTAATACTGGGATACTTTGGGGCAACACTGCAATACTGTGGGGTAATACTGAGATACTTTGTGGCAACACTGCAATATTGTGGGGTAATACTGGGATACTTTGGGACAGCACTGCAATACTATGGGGTAATACTGGGATACTTTGGGACAGCACTGCAATACTATGGGGTAATACTGGGATACTCTGGGGCAACACTGCAATATTGTGAGGTAATAGTGGGATACTGTGGGGCAACACTGCAATATCGTGAGGTAATAGTGGGATAGTGTGGGGCAACACTGCAATATTGTGAGGTAATACTGGGATACTGTGGGGCAACATTGCAATATTGCGGGGTAATACTGGGATACTTTGGCACAACACTAGGATACAGTGGAATAGTACAAAGATACTGAGGGGGTAACACTAGGCTACTATGGGGTAGCAGTAGGATTACATGAGGTATTACTAGGATATGGGGCAAGACTAAGGCAGTGTGGAATAATATCAGGATACTATGGGGCAATAGTGCAATGCTGTGGGGGCAGCACTAGGATAATGTGGGACAACATTGAGGTACTGTGTGGCAGCACCAGGACTGTAGGCAATTGTAGGCCACTGTGGGATACTGAGGGAGAGCACTGGAATGCTACTGAACAACACTAGAATATTATACGTGAACTGGGGTGTTGTGGGATAACCCTGGGATA